CAGCGTAGACGTTCGTGGCCAGCTTATCAGCGGGGAGACATGCTCTGGCCTTTGGCTATATGCCGACTCGGAAAGGGGCGCTTCATGCGACGAGCGCAAGTCGTCTATCTCTTAAAGTACATCTAGCCTTACAGTACCTTATCAGAAACTTCTTCCGCATTGAGAATGTAGTTTCAGTCGGGCTGGCTAAGAGTATTCATCAGCTACCTCCAGTTACTTATGCTGACAGCTGCACATTGGTCCATTATTACAGCGACGTGGATCCAGGATTTCATTTTTATGAAGCAGAAGGCGCTGTACTGAATATACACGATATAACTGGATCAGCACGTTCGAGAATTGTCAATTGCTTGAGGCCCACTAAACCCCAAGCAGGTTTTGATCCGGACATGACAAGATTTGAGAAATGGGCAGATACACCGACACCGGATGGAACCACAAAAGAAGCCTCTGAAGCCGAACCACCACATGGTGATGGACGGCGTTCACGCTCTACGAAGAATCAGAGGCTGATCTCGAGTCACATGTTATGGAAGTGCGGTATGCACAGCTACAAAAGGAAAGGAAACTGCTGGAGGCAACTCCACCAGAGGACCTCCATTCCATACCTACACAGATGTGTGCTGAACACTGTTGCTGATGAACAGCGGGGACACCTGCCGAAGCGGGGGCGCGATCGCGACTCCGACACCGAGGAGACGCACTACGTCTCAATGTGCACCATGGTCGAAGACGACAACTGCGGACTGGACACAGACGAAAGTGGTCAATATGTTGAATTCTGCTTAGCGGCAGAAATGTCAAAGGTAGTCCTGTCCGAGCAGCAACGTCGACCGTGCGACCACTGTGCTAGTATACGTTGCCGCCGCTGCAAAGCGAGCCGTGGTCGTCAAGGAAGACGACCTCCTCGCGAAAGCTGACGTCGAAGCGAATCCCGACAATGTATCGAAGGCCCTCTACACTGAAGTGAAAACATGGTTGGGCAACAAGTGTTAAGATGCAAGGTATAGCTAAAACGCCGAGCATCACGACTTCGAGATACGGGCGTAAATAGAAGTCCGGGAAGAACGAGAAGGGCGAGATGGAACGCACCATCAGATTACGCTTGGTACTCCGAGGTTGCATGGGCCTTGAATCCGTCGACGTAGAAACATGTCCGGGAACAGTGCGACGGTCGAGCCAGAGGCTACTCGCCAGCACGGCAGCGCGCAAGAAGCAATGGATCATTGCATCCCTCGACATCAACATGGCCTCCCTGAAGGGGTTGACCTATCAGGAACTTGCTGAGGCTACTGGCGACAAGGAACGTGTGGTGCGTTTTGCTCTGCCGCCTGGATCGGCTATAGCGGTTCGAACTCTCCCAGGATTCGAACAGCACGACGAGTCAAAGCACTGCCCGCAGTGCTTGAAACTGGGCACGGGCACCAAAGACGCACCACGGGCTTTCTCGCTAAAGCTCAGAAGGACCACCAGAGGTTTTGGTCTCCGACCCACGTCCTGCGACGAGGAGTTCGAGACGAGCAACAACCTGCTCACGGCCAAACACGTTAATGATATCAATATGGCCGATACTGAGGACACCATTCACAAGTATGTCAAGTGCGTAGAAGACACCTTTGGTAAGTGTAAACTCAACAAGCACACATGCACCACCTGCGCTGTAAGATACACCAAGGATGAGGACGGCAATGCCACTTTGGACCACGATGAATACATCAAACAGCTCCGTCCTATACATCATCTTGAGCTTACCGGCGCCGACGCTGACGCTCAGGCATCCAATATGTTTGCAGACATGTTCGTCAGCCTCAGGGGCGCGCTGGCGCATGCATTAATCACCCAGGTGTGGTTGATGGCGTATGTTGTATCTCTACAACGTGTCCAAGAACCGACCAACATTCAAGTCCCACGAGAAAGCGTGATCACCAGGAAGCTGCAGGCCTGCCCAAAGAAGATCGCCTACCAGGCGATGACCCCTACGGGCGAGGTCGACCTGCACAGCGACTCAGGATATCGATGCCTGAGTGGAGACGCCGACGACGACGTCGAAGGCTACGGTATTCGCGGGGCAAACCTGCTACGACGTGGAATAACGTCATCCGGTAAACCTGTCGCTCACTGGACCGATGCGCGCTGCAAGTCTCACCGCTTGCAGGTCCGCTCGAGCCACTCAGCAGAGACACCAGCAGCAGCCCATAATTTGGAGGACTGTTATCCCACGATTGTGACTCTGCACGAGTTCCACGCAGGGCCACTCACGCCCATTCAGTTGAAAGATATACTTGAGTTGGGTGGCCTGAGCATCAAGGTCATTTTGACCATAGATGCTGAGTCTGTTTTTAAGTCCTTGCCAAGCAAAGACTTGAAGAATCCGACGGAGTGTACCCTTAGCATCCAGTGGTGCGACGCCCGCGATATGACCGCGGATGGTCACACCAAGGGGAGCATCGACAGAGAAATGCCCCTACAACTCTTGGGAGGTAGACACGCCTTCAAACATGACCTGAAGAGTCATACTCCATATCGGGCTGGCCAGACATCTAGTTCTGACGCCGCCTGAGGAGTACTTCAGGTGCAGAACTGTACAAGCAAGGCAACCTGCGAGCCAGTCCACCCTCCTTCTGGCCCGCTCCTTTTTCTGTTCTTGTGTATATTAGCCGCTGCGCTTGCTGTATAGGGGCGACAGGCTCACGCTTCGTTTCCCTCCCGCCCCGACTCTAAAGCGAGCTGAGGGACGCAGGGAGTGGAAGCGAGCGTGCGCCCGCGGCCGCGTCGGCTCAAGCGGCCGGCCGCCCAAATATGACTGTGCCTCGCCGCGAGGCGCGCAATCGCTATCGAGACCAAAAGGATATTCCTACCTGTACGACCACCCTGCGGGCGATAAGGAGGTCGTGGGGGGGTGGGGGGAGGGGGGTGGCCCATGACGACAACTGTGTTGAACGTGGTGCTGATGGGCGATGGTGGTGTGGATGACGTGGCGGATTTTTTGTTGTTCCTTCGTTTGGGCGACTTGTGTCGTTCGATTATGAGATCGATTGAAAGATCGAGAGTGGGACCGATGGTGAGATCGATTGTGAGATTGATTGTGAAATCGATCGTGAGTTCCATAGTGAGACCGAATGTGAGATCGATAGTGAGATCGATTGTGAGATCGATTGTGGGGTCGATGGTAAGATCGATTGTGAGATCGATAATGAGATCGATAGTGAGATCGATAGTGCGGTCGATCGTGAGATCGATTATGAGACCGGATGTGGGATCGATGGTGAGATTGATCGTGAGATCGATAGTGAGACCGAATGTGAGACCGAGTGTGCGATCAATTGTTAGATCGATCGTGAAACGGAATGTGAGATCGATAGTGATATCGATAGTGAGATCGACTGAATCAGATCGATAATGGGATCGGTTGTGAGACCGATTGTGACATCGATAGTGAGATCGATAATGATATCGATCGAGTGGTATCGATAGTGAGATCTATAGTGGGATCGATCGCGAAATGTATTGAGTGACGCGTTGGTTCCTCCTCCCCCCTCACCTCCTTATCACCAGAAGGGTGGTCGTATAGGTATTTCACCATCGATCTCAGTATCGATCTCACATTCGGTATCACTATCGATCTCAATCGATATCACAATTGATCTCACAATCGATCTCACATTCGGTCCCACTATCGATTCCACTATCGATCTCACCATCCATCTCACGATCGGTCTCACAGTCGATCTCACTATCGATCCCACGATAGGACACCGACGGGACAACGGCGAGCCACCGACGGGACAATGACAGGACACCGACGGGACACCGACGGGGCAACGGCGAGCCACCGACGGGACAATGCGGGCCCCCGCTTGACAAGGCCGGAGGGGGAAACATTTGTGTTGGCGGACCCCTAGCGACAGCAGGGTGAATTCCTCTCGCCCGCCCACGCAGCTTTGCCTCGCCCGCACGCACGGCACGAGCACGAACTCGAAACTCGATTTCCCGGCGGGGGGAGTCCGTTACACTGCGATCTCACCCCCCAGCCTCCGATTGCTTAAGATGGCACATCCTCTCCTATCGGGACTATCGTTACTACGGTACAACAGAGCGGGAGCTTGGCTTCGCCTAAGGCGAAGCTGCTGGCTGGGCCTCCCAGCCCCCTTCAAACTGAGGGCTGCGGAATGAGGAATGGGCGCCAGTCATGGACAGCCCCGCCCGCATCTTCAAGGATCCCAGGAGGATGAGGAGGACGACGACGACTAGGAGGAGGACGACGACTGAGGAGGAAGAGGCGAGGAGGAGGAGGAGGAAGAGGGAGGAGGAGGAGGAGGAAAAGAAGGAGTGGAAGGGGGCCGAGTGAGGAGGAGTGCCCAGACATCCGATGTTTTGATTTGTTCAATACGGAGTTCTCTGAAGTCCCGACCCTTTCCCCTGGAGCCCGAGAACAGCCAAAAATTGTCCGTTGCGAGTTTTGTCACGACGCAAGCATGTGGGCTCTCGGGCCATAGCCCAGCTCTCTGGTGGCCGTTCGGGACGACCCAGGCACCCCCAGAACGCCCTCGGACCTCGAACCTCGACATCCCCTGTCTGGCCCCCGCCATTCGCCCCCCCCCCCCCCCCCCGGGGGCCTCGGGCAGGCGCTGTAGTGGAGGAGCAGGAGGCTGACCTGGAGGAACTGGCGTTGGAGCTCCTGGAGTCTGGCGAGGGCCGCCAGAGCCCGCAATCTGGCAGAAGCCTACCGCTGGGATTGTTTCACGGCGAGAGCATGTCTGAGTGGGCAGGAATAGCAGAGGATCAAGAGGCCATAATATAATGACACGCTCCGCGGTTTCCAGGGTCTCCCGTATGTTTTAGTGGTTCTCACAGGCTGCAGCAAAAACCAGGGCCGTCAGATACGTTGGAAATCCTGGAACGTACCATGAGCCATTATTCTCATGACATCGTTCTGGCCCTCGATAACGGGAACCACCGCCGCTATCCTCGGCTCTCCACCCCCCAGGGGCCTCCGACAGGAGCTGGTGGAGGAGCGCGAGGCGGACCTGGCGGAGGCCGACGAGCTGGGCGAGCGCCCTCCAGCGCCCACCGCGGTGGCCGTGGACGCCGCCGCCGCCGTCGGCGTCGTCGTCGGTCGCTCGCTCTGTCGATCGGTCGCCTTCGGTCGGTCGTCGGGTTGTCGGTCGTCGGTCGGTCGTCGTCCGCCCTCGGTCGTCGTCGTCGTCGGTCGTCGCGTCGCTCGCCGTCGTCGGTTGGTCGTGGCCGTTGCCGAGGGTGAGACGTATGATGAGCAGCATCAGCAGCAGCTTCATGCTCGCTCATCCCTCCTCGCTGGCCTCCCTCCTCGGGTAATTATAGGAACTTTGACTCCTGCACTCACAGTGCAGAGAAAACGATAAACGACTGTATCAAGGGTCTGGCTGCCACTATTCAAGAGCGTGCCACCACCACCATGATCATAATCATCATCATCAACAGCAGCAGCATCATCATTATCATCAGCAGCAGCATCATCATCAGTATCATCATCATGTTCATTTGCATCGTCATGTTCATCTTCATCTTCATCTTCGTCATCCTTCGTCCCTCATCCCTCCCTCCTTCATTCCACGCTCCCCCGTCCTGCTACAGCAGCAGGAAGGCGGAGGGAGAATTCTGGGAAATTGCGCTGGACAAGGCAACGGTTCATGAGTCAACCGCTGCCCGAGATGCGCGGCATGAGGCCGCTGGGGGACGCAGCGCACCGCCCCACCTCCTGCACCTGGTCGGGCGCGGTGGCGGCAACGACCAGCACGCGACGCGCACCCACCACGACGGCAGGGGGCACATATCACGGCAGCAAGCATTGGGCCGTTTTCGGCCTCGCAGGGCCCTCCCGGGACCGTCAACGAGACGATCCAGGAGGAACGACCCGGGGCCCCCCCGGCATCGTCCTGTCCCGGTTCGTCGGCGTGCGCACGCAGGGCCACGTTACGAGGTCGTCCGGCGTGCGAGCCGCCAGCGTGGCGGCTGGCGCAGGCGTGTACGCCGTTGACCGCTTCCCCATCTCGGGCTCGCCGAAGAAGGTCTCGATGGGCTCGCTCAACTGCTTGACCGTAGGGTCAGGAATTGTGGCCCAGCGTGCCGCTTCGTCGGTTTTTGACTCATCACGCTTCGGCGCGACACGCTATCCGCTTCCCGGCCTCCAAGCGCCAACGTCCCGAACTATTCTCGGTTTCCTGCCCCGCGGAGCGGAGCGACACGTTATCCGCTCGCAAGGCGTAGCGTGTCGCCGCGACCGCCGCCGCGACACGCTAAGCAAAGATTCCTGACCGTAAGCTCGGCTGCCGCCAGCTCCTCGACGAGCCTCCTGACGAGGACTCCACAGCCAGGAGGAGAAGCCCTCCACCTCCTCTCTTCAGGCACTTCCTGGCACACTGAGCAGATACATATTAGGTCGAGCCAGCCACATTCGCCAGAGCGGGGAACGCTCTGCTCAAGAGAGCGGCCAGAAAACGACAGAGAGAAAGAGAGGCAGAGACAGAGATAGGGACAGAGGTAGAGACAGAGACAGAGAGAGGGGGAGGGAGGGAGCGAGGGAGGGAGAGAGACAGAGAGAGAGAGATATGGAGAGAGTGGAAATGTGGGCCCCTCCTTCCGCAGGACTCTACCGCTGCTCTGGAGGCAGCACGCCATTATCTGAGATCGGCAACTCCTCCCCGTCCCCCAATCCCCCCCGCTCCCTCACACCGAAAGGCAGGCAGGCATCCCGTCAACATGTGTCCAGCCTCTGGCGTGCCGAAGACGACTTCGAACGCATCAAGGGGATGGTAGGTATCGTCCTTGACGCTGCACTTTGTTGACGGAACATCCGAGGAAGAGGACCAGTCCTCCCCGCGAGGGCCTGCCAGCGCCGCACCGAGTTCTCCAAGAACGCACTGGCGACCTCCCCGGTTCCGCGCGAGAGCGGCTGCCGCGCCGCGCGAGCGGGCCGCACGCTGGACCTGCGCCTCCCAGTCGGACTTCCAGCGAACGCTGCTTCTGGGAACCCTTTGCTGATAGTCTCGGCGCCAGGCATCGCCGCAGCAGCAGCAGCCGCCGCGCGGACGCCTGGCACCGTCCTCCGCAGCGACCCCCTTTGTGAGGGCACCCGCTGCCCGCTGCCCGTGGGTGCGAGGGGCGATGGGCGCGCCCTCGCGCTCTCGGACCGAGGGGTGGGCAGGCTCCGCCGTGTACCGTCGGGAGCGCTGGACGCTGGGCGCGTTCCACTGCCCGCACGGCGCCTACTCGCGAGCGTCAGAGAAAAGGCGTGCTCGCCTCGCCGCAGTGTGTCGGAATCCCTTCTTCGGCGGAGCCGGGCCATCTGCGAGCAGTTATTGTCCTGCGAGTGGTGGAGCGCTCTTGTCTAGTCGGCTTGGCGTGCCGCGCCGCCGGTCCTGGCCCGCGGCACGACGGCGCGGCACGGCGCCCGCGTCCCAGTCCGCAGGCGTCAACGTCCCGAGCCTTTCCCGGCCCCGCGCCCCGCCGAGCAGCCTGTCGCTGGGGCCTTCTGTCTATCTATCCTGCTATCTATCTATCTATCTATCTATCTATCTATTTATCTGCAATGCCAGGCAGGCGACGATACGAATTCACCGGCGGGCTGTTGAGCTAATTTGCCAAATCCGTCGTAACATTTTGGCGTCCTGCCCTGGTTTTCAGACTCCCCCCATGCCCGGCAGTAGGCATTTTGGATCAGGGTGGCGCTTACCGCGCCCCAGGCCCAGCAGCTTAGCATAGCGTCTGACTGCTGCTCTCCAGTAGTTCTGGAGAGACCCGAGTCCAGTGGAGAAACATTCACATCTCGTTTGATCTCGTTGAATCAATTCTCAGAGCGTTGGTCTTACTGCAACACATTCAGCGTGCGACGAGAAAGAGCTAGAACCATGGCACACGCGAGCGGCAGCGATGGCGGGGCACTAGTCGGTGCACCAGCTGCTCCGCACGGCGGGCTATCAGGCGCAGCTCTACAAGCGGCTCTATTAGGCGATAGCCAGGATGATGCGCTGGCTGTTCAGCGGGATGCGAGGAAACGCGCCCGTGAAGGTCACGACGAGGCCGATCCCATCGAGGCAGCCTTTGACGAGGTTATCGCAGCGGCCAAAGTACCCAGTGAAATAAAGCACAAAGTCCGGCAGGTTGTGGAAAAGTTCCATGGGAAGATTACAAAATACAACAAGTTGGTGGAGAAGAAAAACAAGGTGCAACAGCATATCGATGGAATAGTCAGCGGAAGTTGGCCATCAGATATCAAACAATTCAAACCTCAAGTGGAAATCCCAAACCTCGAGGATGCAGTTCCAGAACATTTGAAAGGGCATCTTATCGACATTCTTCGGTCCCGAGGGGTGGCCGAGGTTCCAGGGTCTCTGACAATCCGTGAAGGCAAAAGGATAATTTACGAAACGAGTACCTTGGCAAACAAAAGGTTGGATTTGGTAATGTTGGAGTCTCAAATCGCAGCTTTATCAACAGACATTGATTTCAATAAGTTTGTCAATGAAGCTACCGCCATCTCGAGCGAGAGGGAACAGAACATTTCCGATTTGAATCTCCCACCGTGTGCGTTACCTCCTGGGCTGTTCAGAGAGGAGGTGAAGCTATCCACCACGGAGGCGATCAGCATGTACCGCAACATGATCAGACGCATCGCCGACGACCGTGCCAAGTCCAAGCTAGAGAAGCAAAAGGAACAAGATAAGCAACAAGCCCGAATTAAGACCCTGATGGAGACGCCGCCGGCCACAAGATTCGCATCAGCCGTAAAGCAGGTCATGAAGGCCACCGAGACCCCGTCTCTGGACTGGGCGGCCTACCAGACTGGCACCCAGGCGGCGGATTGCGTGCAGAACGTTCCAGGCAAGCGCACGTTCACGAAGTCCGAGTTGAGCACGAGGAAGGGTGATCGGAATCAAGCCCCTCGGAAGCCAAAAAACGGACGAGCCCCAGGTTCCAATGGGACCTGGGGCAAGAAGGACAACCTTGCCACCCCATCGATCCACGCAGAGAAGGGCAAAGGCAAGGGAAAAGGCAAAGGCAAGGGAAAAGGCAAAGGCAAGACGAAAGGATACGAGAACGGCAAGGGGACGGATCCCAACCAGCGTGGGACAGACCCCAGAGGCAAGAAAGGAGGAGGCAAAGGAGGACATCCTGGAGGAAAGCGCGCCGGAGGGAAAGGCAAGAGCACGAGTTCCAAGTAAATCTTGAATTCATGCGTTTAGTGGACGGCATGCCGATTGGGGATTTAGCTCTATTGTTGGATGATGCGCACCGTGGGAAGGTGTATTTATTCGATTCAGACAATGCGAGTTGCCGGCACCCGTCATTTAGTGAAATACCATGGCCAGTGGTATTTTTCCTTGCGACGTTTCACAAGAAGTTCAGATTCACTCCTAAAGCTCTTCCTCAACTTTCCCAGGTGTCCAAAATGCTGCAGCAGGCGAGGCAAAAACTGTTGTGGCATTGGCATTTCAGGGGCCAGGAGAGGCCCGACAAGTTCAGAGTAAAATCTACGAGGGCCTCAGTGGCTCCATTTCCCCACTTGGTTCCACCCGAGTTGGACAGCATGCTCAAGGGCATGCGGCACTATGTATTCCAAGGTTGCGAGCGTGAGCTCCAGAAGCAATATGGAGTCCGCAAGCGGTCAAACATGTATGGATTAGTTCGTCTTGCCGTTCGTCAACTTCGTGATCTAGAGTGGGTCCCTGTGGTGTCCGACAAGGATGGAGGTTTCGCACTGGTGAGGAAGACTGACCTCATTGAAGCGCACAGGAGCGCCCTGGCGGGCACCAGCTACGAAGAGATTTCCCCGCTCCAACTTCATTGGAAAAACATCACATCTGAGTATTGCGACATCGTCAAGCAAGTTTCGGAAGACGACCCCACGGTGGATGGCCCGTCTCTCTTGCAATCCCTGGAAGGTGGGGAACGGAAGGTCACAGCCACTCTTGGGGAGACGCTGAAGACGCACAAAGCGCCCGGCGAGGTTGCATTCAGGATCCTGCACACTCGCAGGCATCATTCATTTCGTGGCCTCGGTGCGTGGCTATCGAAAACGATCAGGGACCAATTAAAG